AAAAGAGAGAGACACAGAGACACAGAGAGAGACACAGAGACACAGAGAGAGAGAGAGAGAGAGAGAGAGAGAGAGAGAGAGAGAGAGAGAGAGAGAGAGAGAGAGAGAGAGAGAGTTGGGATTATCCTAGTAGAGAAGAAAGAGCATCGTCATGGGGTGTCGCGTATTTCTGCAGTTTGTTACCCGTTTAGGAAATATAGTTATCGGAACAGCAGGAGTCATGATGATGGTGTTTTCTCTTTGGATGTTGAGAGATTGGAAAAATCATCACCATCCATCTCCTCCCTCTCTTCCTCCTCCTGTTTCTTTCGACGCTGCAAGAGAGGTTAGGGATTTTACTACTCCCATTTATTTTGGGCGATCTGATTCTTTGACGAGTCCGGCAGACGGCGCACAAAGGCGGCGATCGGGCGGCTCTGGGACCAAAGGATGGCACTCCGGCGACAAAGGCGGCGGTGAAGTGTCAGACAGGTCGTCGTCTGCTGTCACAAAATGGAGTGTTGTGAACGTGGGTGGTGTGCTTCTTCCCATTAAAGGCATAATAAATCGAGGCGCTGTCTCCACCTCCTCCTCTTCCTCCTCTTCCTCCTCTTTCACTTCGTCATCTTCTAAATCGGCCGGGATCGGGATCGGAGTGTCTCCCTATCAACGTATAGACTGGCGGATTCCAGACATTCCGAAGCCAGACTTCGACAAACTTCCAGCTACCTGGTGAGTGTCACATGATCTGTCTTTATCTGTGTGTGTGTGTCTTTCTCTCTGTCTGTCTGTCTGTCTGTCTCGCTCTCTGTCTTTTGTCAATCATTGTACAGGAGACAATCTGTCGGTGTGGCAAGCTCCTTCCTAACGAGCCGTTCCGGAGGGAAGTGCTAGTATGTTCAGCTGTGCGACCGCGTCTGTGTGACAATGTGTCTTGTGTGTGTGTGTGTGTGTGTGTGTGTGTGTGTGTGTTTCTGTCTCTCTGTCTCTCTCTTTTGTCCAATCGTTGTACATGAGACAATCTGTCTGTGTGGCACGTTCATGCCTAACGATCCGTTGTAGAGGGAAGGGTTAGTATGTTCAGCGTTGCGATCGCGTCTGTGTGACAGCGTCTGTGTGACCACCTCCATTTGAGAAAAAATCTATGTGGCACTCCGTGCGGCAATACGTCTGTTTGAGAATATGACTCTCTACGGTGATCAGTGTGACCGTGTCTTTGTGACAACCTGTCACTCTGCCGATGTGTGTGTTTGACAACGTCTATTTGAGAAAAGGATCTGTGTGGCACTCTGTGCGGCAATCTGTCTGTTTGAGAATGTGACTCTGCGGTGATCTGCGTGTTCGTGTCTGTGTGACCACCTGTCACTCCACCAATGTGTCTCTGTGACAACCTCTATTTGAAAAAAATATCTGTGTGACACTCTGTGTGGCAATCTGTCTGTTTGAGAATGTGACTCTGTGGTGATCTGTCTGACCGTGGCTTTGTGACAGTCTGTAACTCTGCCAATGTGTCTGCGTGACCAGTGGTACCGAAGAGAATCTGTGTGCGACGCTCTGTGCGGCAATCTGTCTATGTGAGGGTATACCTCACACAACCACTTTGAAAATTCGTAAATGTATCTGACTGCAATTACGGCCACAAATGGATGCATCTCATCCTACCGCAATTGCGTCCAAACCTCGTGGATGCGTCTGACTGCAATTGCGTCCAAACCTCTTGGATGCATCTGATCGCAATTGCGTCCAAACCTAAGTCGAGAAGTCCGAGTGTGAGTATGCCCTGAAAATGTGACTCTACGGTAGTCTGTTTGTGCGACAATCCATCTTCTGTCAGCGGCTGTGGCAGATGTACACGTGCTGCCAAAAGAAATAAACAAAAAAAGAAGGAAAAAAAGGGAAAGAAAAGGAAAAAAAAGAGGAAAAAAAGGATGTGCACGTGCTACCGAAGACGGATTGTTGCGCAAAAGAAAAAGAAAAAGAAAAAATACAAACCGGCCTAGCTCAGTTGGTACTCCCATGAAATGTTGAACTACAGACCTGAGTTGGAATCCAGATGGATTAGATGAATCAAATTATTCTTTTTTTTTATATTTTTTCTTATCAAATTATTCTTAGATGAATCAAATTATTCTTAATCAAATTCCTGAGTTACCCTGGGGAAGGTGAGTTCCAGGATGATATCTCAAGACCGTCGCCCTTGTAAGGATTGAAAAAAAAAAAGATATGCCCGTGCCACAGGTGAGTTTGTGCGACAGTTTATCTGTCTTTTTTTATGACGTTTTTTTTTTTTGATTTCTTGTTTTATCGATACATACCCAAGTACCAGTCTTCAAGATCGTTTTTGTTTTTTTCCTCTTTTTTAATATGAGTCTTCATATATGTATATCGTTTTATATCTATATGTAGTTTACAAAAAGAGACTCAGGTCATAAAAGCAATACAGAAGGACCGTACTGTCACAAGGTGGGACCATTCATATTTGATCTTCTTCCTCTTCTTCTTTTTTTTTTTTTGAGAAAACTCAGCTTCACCGTAGCAGCCTTACTGCTCCAGGCGTAGCCCCTTGGTAGTAGCTCTGCTGAATTTTTTTTTTTTCCTCCCAAAAAAAGAACTACTGATTTTTAATTCCCCGATGACATGTACGGGGTGCGGGTGCACTTCGAGGGGGAGAGTATCGTTGGCTGGAGCGCTCTGCCGTGCCGGCAGCATTGCGTCTGCGACCGGTGGACTTGAGTACAGATGCCTTTTTTTTTTTTTTTTTATTGTCGAAGGACGACATCTTTGAATTGATTGGCCCCAGGTAATTCATAATTATTTTACGCTGTGCCTTTGAACTGATTGCGACCGGATTCGACCTTGGCTCTAAAAAAAAAAAAAAAAAAAAAAAAAAAACTTGGCTCTGTATTTCAACAGTTCGTGGGCTTACCAGCAGACCCAGGCTCGCTGGTCAAATCCCTTTTGGTGTTGGAATATAAAATGTATTTTTTGAGAAGGGAAAAAAAAAAAAAAAAGAGAAGGGACGCTGGGCCCAGTTCCAAGCACGTGCTGCTCCCCACGAATATTTTTTTTTTTTTTTTTTTTTTGCCCCTAAAAGAGGTTGGACAGTGAAGAAGGGTATGCTTCGTTTGAACCTTCTGTTTTTTTGTTTTTTTTTTAAAGGTCCTTACGAAATGATAAAAACAAAAGAAACCATAAATCATCCGTGGTCCGTCGGACCATTCTTAAAAGAAGTCAAAGGTTGTTTTGATGAGTCGTTTATTTTTTTTGATGTGTTTTGCATTTGTTTGAATTATGCGTATTTAAATTAGTTTAACGATATAGTTTAATTATAGTGATTGTGATGTTACACTCGTTCTCGGTAGCAACAAGAGGAGTGTTTTTTTTTTTTTTTTTTTTTTTTTTTTTTTTTTTTTACAAATGACTATAATCTAATTTGTTGCACAGGGCACGGTGTCCAAAGCAAGTACATCAAAGCAATTAAAAGAACCGCAAAATTTGGACGAGGTAGACAAACGGGTCGCCGCATGGCACCAGAGCCACAAAGCCCCGCCCCCTGGACTTTCCAAGCCCACAGAGCGAAAATAGCCACAGGACGTTTCCGCTTTAGGACGCCCGTTGTAGTTTTTTTTTTTTTTTTTTGCCCGCTGTAGATATCAGGTATTTTGTATAAAATATATTTTCAACTTTTCCGCTTTAGATTTCTGTACTTATATATATTTATACATATATCTATATGCATAAATATGTATATACGTATATTTCGTGGATGTTTTGCTGGCTTGTGATGGGGTGTGAACCGACAGTCTGTAGAGTTTTCCATCTGGTGTGGGTGAGTGATAGTCTACTTTGATTTTGGTTAAGGTAGATTATCATTTGCAGTGTAATCAGTGAGGGGATTCTGCAGACTGTTGAGGGTTCAGCCTCCTGATGAGTCGGTGAAACTCCGACGAAACAGTTTGTCACAGCCCCTCGTTTGTTGTCCTCTTCTCTCTCTCTGCCTACGGTTTACCGGGCAGTTCTGTTTGTGACGGTATATATGTATACATATGTACATATATGCTAGGCTACCATCCGGGCCGCCCGGGTCAGCTTGTTTTCCAGGGCGGCCCGGCCGTGCAAGGACCAAAGGTCCTCTGCCTCAGGGTCACGTCGAAATTGTTTACCCAAAAAAAAAAAAAAAAGTACCGGGCAGTTCTGTTTGACGATATATATCGTCAAACAGAGCCGCTCTGATATTTTTTGTGACGATATATATGTATATTTTGCCCGGCCGGGCAAGTGGTCCCGAGCCACTCTGGTAGCCTAGCATATACATATATATATTTAATTTAAATATATACATAGAGGGTTCAGCCTCCTGAGGAGTTGGTGAAACTCCAACGAAACAGTCTGTCACCACCTCTCGTTTGTTGTACTCTTCTCTGTGACAGTCTCTGTCTACGGTTCACCGGGCAGTTCTGTTTGACGATGGTGATGAGGATCGTCAAACAGAACTGCCCGGTAAACCTTAGGCAGAGACAGAGAAGAGGACAAGGAGCGTGGGGGTGTGACTAACTGCTCCGTCGGAGTTTCACCGACTCATCAAGAGGTACATATATCGTCAGACAGAACTACCCGGCCAACCGTAGCAGGGAGAAGACGACAATAGACGAGGGGCTGTGACAGACTGCTTCGTCTGAGTTTCACCGAAATGTCCCCTATGGAGGCTGAACCTGGCGGTCTTGTACGCAAGAGGTTCTGAACAGGGGGAGTTGTAAGGAAGAAGATCAAAAACTGAATTCATTTTTTCCTGTTTTTCTTTCTTTGTTTTTTTTTTTTTTTTTTTTTTCATTTGCGCTCTGATATTCTTGTGACAATATTTATTACGGAGAGAATAGAAATGCAAAATGGACGAAATGGTGCATCGTGTTCCTTTCCTTCCCTCTAGCCCTCTCTCTCCCCCTTCCCCCCTCCCCCCTCCCCCCTTCACCCCCTTCTCCTGTCCCCGTCCGTCTTCTCCCCTTGTTTCCTTCTCGCTGGCCCTAGCAGTTGAGAGAGGGGTAGTTCCCTGTGATTTTTTTTTTTTGGTTCCCTGTGAATTTATTATTATTATTATTTTTACTGTGCATCTATGTTATCAGCCGGGCCGCCCGGGTCAGCTTGTTTTCCCGGGCGGCCCGGCCGTGCAAGGACCAGGGAAGGTTCCAGCAAAAAGAACAAAAAAATCCGGCGAAAAACTATGTTATGCGGAAAAATGAACTGAACAACTTTTTCCTCAGGCTCACGTCGAAGTTCTTTACCAAATTCAACAAAATATATATATATATATATTTTTTTTTTCACTTTTTTTTTTTTTTTTGGGCCCGGCCTGGCAAGTGGTCCCGGGCCACTCTGGTAGCCTGGCTGTGCATGCAGTTCTGCCGACCTTCTTGCTTGTCATAGTTGCGTCTGTGAAAGTCGTCACTTATTGTGATCCCTCCCTTCACCTCTCCTTCCTTTTCACGATGGGAATGCCGATGATGCTCCAGTCATTGATTTTACACATGCATCAATTTGGGAGAAAACTGTAAATACTGTAAATACTGTAAATAAATACTGTAAATACTGTATGTCTCGAAACTTTAGCACCGATTGTCATGGGGACAAATGAGTTTTTGGGGAGCTACTGTAATTACAAGTTTAGTGATTGCAGAACAATACTGTCCTCCTTTTACTCGTTCTCCAACGCTTCTCCTATCTACCTCCTTTCCTCC